CTCCGTCCCACCTGCGTTCACCAGGTGGCGCTCTAACACAGCTCTGGCGTTCGGGCCTGCGCGCTCGGGCCTGTGCACTCCGCCCCGCGCTAAAGGGGTGAGATCCGGGACAGGTCACGCCGCGAGCAGATCCAGCACCACACGTCCACCCCGTGGAGTGCGGGCGTGGACGTCAGGTGGGACACTCTCCTCTTCTGTCCCAGCTCGGAAGGAATGAAGACAGCAGTAAAACGGGCAGGTCTGGAAGTAACCTTGCCACAAGTAAACAGTTGGAAGGACAAGCTTCTTAGAGCAAAGGTCCTTCATACCTAAACCCGACACACATCTGGTTTAGGAACAAGGGGTTCCGCAATCTCAGATGTTGAGTCAGGCAAAGCTAGATAAGTGAGGAGCGGTAAGCTTGGTGAGGGGAGAGGTTTCAAGTGCAAGGGATCAAGTTGATAATTGACTGGACTTTTTGAGTAAAATAATAGTACCCTAATATATTAAGAAAAAAGTAAAATCGATCTTCGAATTCAGAAATCAATTTCTAGAGAAAATCATGGTAAAAAATTTCTCTCGCCTTGTAGCCTACTAAGTCTCAATACAGAGGTTTGGAGAGTTCTGGCCTGAACAGGTAGGTATACAGTGGCATTTACTCAAACAGGGAAGGTTGGATTGGAAATTTCAACAGACTGGGGATATGTTTTAACAGTGATGTTCATTAAGTGGAAATGTTGAGCAGAAGGGTACTCAGGACAGAGGAGAAGGCTAGAGAGAAATCTAGAGTCATCCATTTTCACGTAGTATCTGAAATCTTGATTGGAAAAGATCAGCTAGGAAATAAAACAGATGTACTGGGATGAACCCTGAGGCTGCCCACAAGCTTTTCTAATTTAGAGGATTAGTGGCCAGAGAGGAGATAAACTAAGGGAACGCAGAGTGAAAATTTGAGCTTGAAGCATAGTTGAAACCAGTGAAATCAGAGGGAATGAGGGAACCTGTACTCCTACTTTGGAACCCAGTCCTACTTCTCCCACTCAGCCAGATAGCTTGAAGCAGTAGTGGGAAGATTTGAAACACTAGTCTACAAGATAAGACCTACAAAAACTGCCAACTGAGACCTAGTAGAAAAGCAGAGAAACCTAAGAGCTAGCCAACTGCCCAGCAGAGAGCTTCCAGCAAGCTACCAACAAGTTTCTCAAAGCCCCATCACCGGCATAAGCCAGGCAGTCGAAGAAAACAATGCAGAAACACCTCCAACTGTGCAAGAATTCATCGTGGATGTCCAGCCCAGACAGGCCTTCAGGTGACTGCAGCCTCAGCATCTGCAGCTGCACTGGAGGTCCCAAGAGAAAGCTGCCCAGCTGATCCTTCTCAATTTAAGCTATGTTTAGGGATGTCTATGGAGGGGGGATCTAGAAAAAAACCACTACTAAGTACCCAGCACAGTAAATGGGGCAGGAGGTGAGAGGAGGTCAGCACATCAACAACACATCAAGTACTATACATGGTTGAGAAATTTGAGAACAGGAATTGATCTTAAAATTTTAAGAAACAAAAAAGCAAACAAAAATAGAAAAATGATTTCCAATTTTAAAATGCTATTCCGATTCAAATGATGAATCAAATTGTAAAGGTATAAATACAAACATTTTAGATATTGAAGCTCAGAAGGCTACTAGACTATGAGTTCCGTCAAAATAAGAAACCAAAGCAAGGAAAATATGATTGGGTATCTGAATGTCCAAGCTGTGGCCAGGAAAGAATTCCTTGAGGATTATCTTCAAGAATGCTGAGCTAGCACTTTACCTGATCTATGTGTGTGTATGACTATGTAGTAAGGAGATTTATGGTCAGGGCTGAGTTTTGGGGAGTAGTGACAGGAACACAGAAAACCAAGCAATTGAAGCAAAACCCCAACAATTACCAGCTCGAGGAAAAATTAACTGTACCTAAAGGAAATAGAAACTAATACAAGGCTCAACAGCCAATAGTAAACATAGAGGCATACTCAACTCTTAAGGATTGCAGCCAGCATATTAAACTAACATGAGACAAAATGTAGGTGTATATATGGGGATACTAAACCTCGGAGAAAGATTTATGAGAGCTAACTGCTTGCCCAATGTAGGAAGTCAAAAGTGTCTAAAATTAAGATTAAGGAATGGCATTAAAGCCAAGTGTGATATCACATGCCTATTATCCCAGCACTCTAGGAAGGCTAAAAGTTCAAGCCCAGTCTAGACAATTCAGTGATGTGATGAGATCTTATCTATGAAACAAAAAATAACACAGGGCTGGGGACGTATGTAGCTTAGTGAGAAAGCCCTGGGTTCAATCTCCAATTAAGACACACACACACACACACACACACACAACACAACACAACACACACACGAGCCAGGCCTGCTTGCACATGCCTATAATCCCAGCACTCAGGAGGCTGAGTCAGAATCACAAGTTGGAGGCCACCCTTGTCTCAAAAAAGAAGAAAAGAAATACATTAAGTCCTTAATTACTGGAAAATTCCTATAAGAGCAGAATATTGGGGAAGAAGGGATCTGGATCTGGTGGTGGTAGTGAGATGAGGAAGTCCTACTAGAGTTTTTGTTTTCTCAATGAAATAGGTGGAGGGGCTTTGAAGAGAACCAGAAGACAGGAAATAGTCTTGGAGAATCTGGAGGATGTAGGACTACAGTCAGGGGATGCTGACTGCTAGTTTAAGATCAGTGATCATACTCAACATTACTAAAGTCTATTTATACTGTGCTGTATATGGCTCAAATTTATCTCCTCTTCATATAGCTGCTAATAAACGCAGGATTACACCCTTCTTCTTTGACCCAGATGGCTATAACACTCCCAAGATTCTTGCCTCATGCTGACCATCTGTCCACCTGCCATTTTTAAGAGAAAATGTAACTATGTCACTTTTCTCCCTAATGTCCTCCAACAACTGGTTCTCATAAAACTCAAAATATGGTTTGACCTTGCTGGCCTCTCACTTAGCCACACAATCAAAGGGTGCCTCTGGATTTTCATCACATCACTTTTCCATCTTTCCCTGCTTCCAATCCATGAATACAAATCCACGTACATCGTTACGTAAGCTATGCAAATATATATCTTTTGGCTTAATGTGAGTTGGATGGGCCTAGCAGACAGGGGCTGTCAGTGAAATCAGACACTGAGACTGCTGAGAGAATTACTTATTATACATGGAAATGTAAGCTGCAAACTCCTCAGAGCATGTGCTGGTGGGTGACAGTCGGATCATGAAACAGATAAGACTATCAAAGATGTCACAATGGGAAAGAGCTTTTCATTGTGAAAACAGGGATAGCATTAGATATTCAAATGGTTTACCAGCATGATTAATAAGTGTGTCAAGCATCTAAGAATAACATAATTTTGAATAAAAGCAGAAATTCTTCTGGAGAGACGACTTCCCCGCAGGTCAGGCTGCTTAAATGTCCACCATGTCCAGCAGTGCAGACAGATGGAGTTCAGAGGCAACTTCCTCTTCCCTTGAACTCTGGATCAGCCGTTCCAGGTGCTTTAACCGTTCTGTCAGAGATGTATCTGTTGTTTCTGACAGCTGCAGTTGTTCCCTTGTTCTTGCATTCTATTTGAATTAAAAAAACAAATAGCCTTGAGATATCAATAAACCAAGACCTGTCCTCTGTGAGGGGACTAGATCTGGTATGTGCTAATCTCATCTGAGGCCTGTTGGCTCTTTGTATTGTACCTGGACAATTTCCAGTGTCACTTGTTTTAATGGGGTCTATGATGAATGCACTGTAATTGCATAAATAGACTCCCATTCTTTGGATATTCACTTTATTTCCACTTTTCTACAGTATAATCACTGCTGTAAGTCGATATTCTTATACATTAATTTTTGTTTCTTCAGAATAAGTCAAAGGGTATATTTTTAAGGTATACACTTACTAAAGTGATAAGTGGAAGCAGTATATCATTTTAACTTGCTTTCTACCCTTATTGAGAGACATTCTAAATCTACTCCAGGAAAACCATTTTCACCAGTCTAGCAGCACCTACTTGTAGTTAAACTCTCTTTTTGCTTCTTTAACCACTGAGGGAAGGGCAGGGGACTGAAAGACCCTGGGCTTTAGAGAGAGATTTGGCTTTGAAAATCTCGTGCTCCTAATCAGCTAAACTCTGTAAGCTGAGGCTCTTCAGTTCTGTGAACTTACCCTCATCATGTCATTAATTTTCTCAGGGAAAGTTAATCCCAAAATAAGTCTGGGTGATGCC